TTCTCGTGACATTTATTGCGACAGCAACTAGTAAGCGCTTGAAATACTTTTGCAGGTTTTTGTATACCTTTTCTTGTAATATGTTTTTCTCCTAACATATTCTTTTATTTCATTTCTACTCTGTTATATTTAGGTTTTTTAGGTTGAACATTAGAGCCATTTATTTGGTCTTTGCCATCGTCACTTTTATTTGTAAAAGTATCATTACTTAGTATATCATCTGTATTATTACTGGAAGTGGCTGTTGTTTCACACTTTTTAGATGGCACTGCTTGATATTTACCTGGCCTCTCATTGTCACTTGTGTCAGATGAAGTGTCCGAAGGAATATAATCTTCATCTACATCTGAATTATCACTATTCAAATATGACACTAATTCTTCAGAATGGCCAGTGGATGCAGAAGTTGAACTTATTTCTTTAATTTCGTCATCAACTAAACACCTTTTCAATCCTCTTATATCACTTCCCACTGATTTTTTAAAGTCCTCACTTTCAGTCTGTAATACTGTTTCTTCGAAATTTACTAAAACCGAATCTTCATGTTGGCTAATAACCATATCAACTAACAGCTTTCCACGCGACATACTTTTACTAATAGTTTTCTTAAGACAACCAAAGTACCACCTTAATTTAGTAAAATGCACAACAATAAAATTAGGTTATGTTGTGGTCAGCTGGTAACCAAAACTTGATATGTCTATAAAACATCGGTCCACATTTTAAATCTGATGGTGACAAAACTTGATATGTCGACTTATCAACTTTTGGCAAATATTAAAATGAGGTAATTTAATATACCATGTTTAGTCTTTAACTTATATCTTTAATAATATTGTCCTTAGACATATCAAGTTTTGGCAAATAAAAATATAAGTTTAAACACATATCATGGTTCGCAAAGCTGAAAACCATGATTTTTGACATATCAACTTTTGGCAAATAGCCACAGATATATATATATATATATATATATATATATATATATATATATTTGTATGATGTTAAAGTTTTAAACAGATATACTGCATGGCAACGCAAAACTCCAATTGGTGGTTGCTGATCCTGAGACGTAGTGTCCATATGTGCTCTAGATAGTAACTCGGTTTCTATCGTTCAACGCTTGCGATAGTTTTAGTCATCTGTATGTAGACCCATATCTTCTATTGCACCATTTATCTCTTGTTTCCACGATCTTCCGAATCTTTCCTTTTTCCCGAGGTGTGTGGGCAGTCACAAAAAGCAATAGAAATATGAACCAAATTTGTGCTGGTATAGTACCAAAGTATAGTTTACAAGTAAAACAAGAAAAAACCGTTGATGTTAGAAAATTATAGAAAAACATGATTTAAACTGGAAGAGTATTGAAGAGTTGAAGAGAAAATATTCGCCTTATATGATCGCTTCATTCTACTCTTCTATCTTTTACCCAGCTCTTGATGTTCTCCACCTTGCATTTACGTCATATATCTGTACTTCTAGCTCTGTTAAATAGTGTCTTACCATAAATTTTTCTGATTATTATCTACTTGTTCTATTATCTAAACTTCCAGCTACAATTTACATCTTAGTAAATTTGCTGTTATAACCATGAATTTTGTCTTTTTTGGGGAGTTTTCTGGCGGTTATAATAAATTGGTGCAGCATACATTGTAATTCATCTTCACCTTGAAAGAGTAGTATTGCCTTGTCTGCATAGCAGATTATTTTAAGTTGTTTTTCTCCCATTTGGTATCCTTTTTTAGATCTTACTTTTGAACAACTGAGGACTCAGCTAATCTCCCTGTCTTACCCCATTGCCAGCTTCAATAGGGTCGGTTAGTTCTTCTGCTACTTTTACTCTTATTGTGTGGTTTTTATGAGATATTTTCAATCATTTTGATTTTCCTAAAGGTATCTCTCTTGCGTACAAAGTAGCCCTTAAATTTAACCGGATCAAATATCTTCTTATGGTTTACGAAAGATAGATATGCCAGTTTGTTGTATTCAAATCTTCTTCTTCTTAACATGCCATACACCAAAGTGCGTAGGCGACTATCTCATTACTAGAATTCTGTTCTTGGCGGCGTGACACAGCTCACCTGTATTGTGTATTCCTGTCCATTCTTTAATATTCCTTAACCAGGACAATTGTTTGCGGCCGGCTCCTCTCCTACCTTCAATCTTCCCTTGTAGGATTAACTGTGGTATTTCATATTTTGCTCCTCTCAATATGTGCCCAAGGTAACCAATCTTGCGTTTTTTAATTAATTCAAAGAGTTCTCTTTCCACGCCGGCTCTATTAAGGACGTCATCGTTTCGAACTCTATCCACCCAAGGTATGCGCATCATTCTTCTCAATGACCACATTTCAAATGCTTCAAGTTTGTTGATAGATGTTTTTTTCAAAGTCCACGTTTCCATGCCATAAAGCAAGATGGACCATATGTAGCACTTGACCATTCTGTAGCGTATTTCGAAGTTTAGGTGTTGATTACATAGGAGCGGTCTGAATTTCACAAAAGCTTGTCTTGCCATTTGTATTCGGGTTTTTATCTCGTGTTGTGGATCCGATTGGTCATTGATTGTGGTGCCAAGGTATTTAAAAGTTTTCACGCGATTTATACGATTGTCACCTATGCATAATATCGGGTTTTCTGGAGGGTTTCTGCTAATGACCATATATTTCGTTTTCAAAATGTTGATTTTGAGGCCATATTTTTTACCTATGCTATTCACCCTATCAAGTAATAACTGCTGATCTTCCAAATTATCAGTTATAATCACTGTGTCGTCCGCATAGCGTAGGTTGCTAATTGGTATGCCGTTCACCTTAATGCCTAATTCCGTATCTTCTAATGCTTCCGCAAATATATTTTCAACATATAAATTAAAAAGCATCGGAGAGAGTATGCAGCCTTGGCGGACACCTTTCCGGATTTCAAATTCATCCGTATATTGGTCTTGATCAATCCTCACCTTTGCCATTTGGTTCCAGTATAGATTCTGAATAATTCTGATCTCCTTCTGGTCAATGTGGGCCCTATGTAGTAGTTCCATCAGTAGTATTCAAATCACAACAAGTAATATCAACATAGCAAATATAGGTGAAGTTATAACTATTTAACTATGTGTAAGTGGCTAAAGAATCCATTCGACTTTTCGAAGGCATTCGATAGAATTTATCATACTGTCCTAATCTCTAAACTTTATAATGCTGGTTTACATGAAAGATTATTAGGCTGGATGGAGGGCTATCTCACAGGTAGAACTTAAGTTGTAAAAATTAACCAATTTTTGTCATCTACTATCAATGTAACCTCTGGTGTTCCACAGGGTGATTTATGTCCTCTGCTTTATACATTTTTTGTAAATAATCATCAATTCTATCTCTATCTAATTAGCCTTCTTCGGTCCATCTTTGGACATAGACCTCCCCAATCCTTTTCCATTCTTCTCTGTCTGTCGCTACAGTCATCCATCTAGAGCCCACGTGCTTCTTGATATCATCTGCCCATCTCATTTGGGGCCTTCCTCTGCTTCGTTTATATTCCCACGGTCTCCAACTTAGAAGAATTTTGTTCCATCGGTCTTCTTTTTGTCTTATATTGTGTCCGGCAAATCTCCATTTCAATTTTGCAACTTCTTGTCTAACATCGCTCACTTTTGTTTTCTCTCTTATCCACTCGTTTCTCTTCTTATCCACTAGTCTTATGTGCAACATTTGTCTTTCCATTGCTCTTTAAGTTTTTATGATTTTGTCCATGTTTGCTTTTGTAGATGTCCACGTTTGGGAACCATAAGTAAGAACAGGGAGTACGCATTGATTATATACTTTGGTCTTAAGATGCTGTGGATATCTTTTGTTTTTAAGAATGTAGCTTAGTTTGCCAAATGCCGCCCATGCCAGTCTAACTCGTCTCCTGATCTCTGCTGTTTGGTTCTCTTTGTTAAGTTTTATAGTTTGACCAAGATATATATATAATCCTCAACTTGTTCTATTTCATCTTGTCCGATTCTCATTGTGATGTCTTCATCTGTATTTGTTATAGTTTTGGTCTTGCTGTAATTCATATTAAGGCCTATCTTTCCAGCTTCTACGTCCAGTCACCATTTCAAATCATCAATTATCATAGTAATATTCTTCTCTATGCTAATGATTAATAAAAATTTATAAAGTCATACAAAATTCCAATGACTGTAGTTTATTACAGAATGATTTAAATAGATTATTGGATTGGTGTAACTCAAATGCTTTGAATTTGAACATAAATAAATGTAAGGTAATGCGATTTTTTAGAAGCAAACATACGATTTCATTTGAATACCATATTGGACCGAATATTTTAGAGGTAATCACAACATTTAAATTTAAAAGACATCATAACATTTAAAAAGGCGTAATTTTTGACCCAACAGTAAGCTTCAGGGACCACTTTTCTTACGTTTCTGATAGATCCATGAAATTTTAGGTTTCATGAAACGTAGCCTCTCTGAATTTGATAATATTTATTGTCTCAAAAATATCTACTAAATATCTACTGTTCCCTTAATACATCGGTTTTGGAATATGTTAGCAATATGTGGTCTCCTCATTATAAATGCTACAAAGATCTATTAGAAGGAGTATAGAAAAAGTAGCTTTTAAATTGAGACTACCTGTGAATGAAATGTGTAGAAATACAAACAAATTTAAAAGTAATGATTTTTTTCATTTATTACTAAGTACTATTAAGAATAATATCGCAAATACCTTGTTATGTAATCACATTGTGCTTTAATAGTTTAAGCCAAGTTTAAGTTGATTTATAAAAAAATGGCAAATTTGGAATTTTTTCTCCATAAAAGTAAATATTGTATTGCATTAATATTTAACCAATTTGAAATGGCACCAAAAAGGATTTTTTAGTAGAGTTACTGATGATAAAGTCAGTATTATTGCCTTCTTTGTGATTTTAATCTTAGTACAATATTATTATTAAACTCATACATTCATGTGGTAATCAAAACTATTTTAAAAGATATTTAGATGCAGTTTCACCTAGAAACCTGACCTTACCTCGTACTCGAACAAGCAGATTCCAGAGAAATGATGACAAGGAGAGAAAAGTCAGCAGAACATCTACAGTATCTAGTCCCAATCCACAAAATCACGCTCCTCCTTCTACCCGTGGGTATTCTTTAGACAGAAAGAGACCTGCGAGAGACGTAGTTATTGAAATGGATCCTATGCTACTTGACAACACTCCAATTTTATTCAATAAGTATGTTGTAGGTAAAGACGGTGGGTTTACCAGGATGATACCAGGTAAAGGTAAAACACCCTTGTTATTTTCTTCCACTAACAGTTTTTGTACCTTGCAGGACCAAGGTGCCGAAATTTATTTAACTGTCAAATCTGGAATAACTTAAATACTTACAATTTTAATATAATTATATTAGTGGATGGTTAAAACCTTTAATCTTTAATTTATTAAACTAAAAATGTATAAAATTATAAGATCTGCTCATAGAACAGTATTATCTTCAAGGGCATTTTTAATTCAGTGTTACTAAGCTTCACGTATGTCAATTTGTGGTGACTTGCGCTATATGTCATATTGTTATACTGCTAGCATTTGAAACACTGCTCAAATTTCCCAAATATTTTTTTTTATTAAATTAATTTTTTTTGTGAATATCGGTAATTTAGATTTTCTTTTGGGATTTAGTTTTAGACCATGTAGTCCAGGCGAAATCTATCGAAAAGCAGACCATATGCGCCAGTCGCAAACACAGTGCTTAATTTTTTATTTAAGAAAATTTGAAAAAATTCGAAAATTTTTGCTTTTTGCTCCAATATTTTCGTCTATAACTAGAGAGATGTTACTCCTACAAAAAAATTATCAAAGCTAAAAGCTTCTTAAGTTTTTTAAGTTTACATATTATTTAACTAGCTAGGAATGATAAAACCGTGGGTTGTCGTAATCGTTTTTTTTCCGAGGGTGGAAATTTCTAAAAACCGTGCCAGGTTAAGCCATCTCTAAGAATGGCTGGCGTGTGTTGGATTCAAGATAGAGGAGTACATTCGAGTTCATTTCCCCTTAGAAGAATTAGGTCCTGCAAACAGATGCATTCCTGTTATCCTGCTTACATCCTGCCAGCATTGTGTGGGTAATAGTGTCAGAGTATTCACAGTGTAGGCATTTATCTGTATCTATCTTTGGGAATCTATGAAGTTATGTCCTAAAACACCCACGTTTTGCGAGCACTTGCGTCAGGAAGTAATCCACCCCGTCCTTTAGGTTCGGGTTCAGCATCTTGGTCCACTGGGCAACATCTTTCCTGTTGTTTCACTCTTCTTGTCATCTTGCTATTGATCTTTCTTTTTCTCCTTTTTTATGGCGGCTCTCAAATATTCTCTTTTCTCATAGAGATGTTTCCTTTCCACTGCTAACACATGCAGAGGAACATAACCCGTGATAGTCCACAAGGATGGTAACCCAATTGAAATAAAACAACTATGGACGAAATATATTGAAGATCTTTTCATGTGCACTAAATAGGCACCAAAAGAAGAAGTGATCATTTTCTTATCGAAAGATAATAAAAAAAACATCCTTTTTAAAAATCATGACTCTTTGGGACTGGTAGCAGCTAGCACGACTTTGCTGTCATTCTAAACAATTTAATGTTATTAATATGGAACACAATGACTTCCAAAGATTTTAAAACTCTTTACAACAGCTGTTAACCTTTTATTATAAGGAAACAACTCAACAGAATACAGACCTTTATATGTCAGATGTTGTCTACTTCCAAGTACGCAGCAATAATTGGGAATTACTTTTTTTCTTCGGAAACATTCCAATCTGTTGATCTTAACATAAATACTAGACATGTTGAGTTTCCTGCGCCCCTGCCTGTGATTCGCGATAAACCAAAAAAATGTCGACCAAAAAATACACATATCTGCAAAGTTTGCTCAACCAAGTGAATTTCATAATTATTTCACTCACATAAAGTAGGTGAGGATTTAGAAAATTTGTCCAAAATGATTTTAAGTGAACAACATACATGATCCTTTGAGTTTCGTTTTGGGTCTCTTTTTCTGTTGTTGCCTATCCTCTGTGAATGTTGGCAATCACGTTGGTTTTGTTTATTCTTTATTTTATAGATATGACTTGTTCATTTTATTTAATTTAATACAAAGAAATGTTCTTGACTAAATTTTGTTTCATTGACGGTATTATCTCAAGATTGTTTATTCATATCTGTCAAGTTACTATTGTATTATCTCTCGAACGTAATAATTGTTTTTATGCCAAACAGTATTAACTCCATGTTTGTTCAAAAAATTTAAGAGGCAAAAAAATGATAAATACAGTAATATATAATATCATTTGTAACTATCAAATAGTGTCCATCACATATTTAAAGAAAAAGAAATAAAAATTCTATTTAAAATTTACTGTCTATATTTCTTTTAAACTCCTCTCTTTTAAAATTTCAATTTTCTGAGTTAATACAGTTTAACTTTGAGTTACAGATAAAGCCTATAAAATATTGTTTTTTTGTTATTTAACTCTACCACAAAATGAGCCAAAAATGACCAGAATGAACCTTAGATTTTCTTATGGAGATGTACATGGGAAAATGACCGATTTTGGGTTAGAACTCTCACAGCCCTTTTACTAATGTAACCAGTAAAAATACTAGTTTTTAATTTAAAGATACCATTTTTTGTTTAACACTGTATTTGCAAAAACATGTTTCCCCATATTTTCTCCATATTAAATGTTAGATGATGCAGCTGTCGACTAATTGACATATGTGTTACACATAATGAATTAAAAATAATTATAGTGCATGTGAATGCCGTTTTTACTAGTATTACGTCATTTAAACTATTTTGCATGTGTGTTCAAAAATGTAAAAAATATTTATTTTTCATCATACCGCATTCGAATAATTTACTAGCTGCGAACTTTTAAGCTATTTTTATTTTCCACATAGATAAAAACATCTGGTACCAGTTAATGCATTTCTACCATCTAACATTGTTGTGAAATATTTCAAACTTCCCTAACGTGAATAACCCAAATGATAACATCCAGAATAAACTATAACTGTCATTTATCTGAATGTTTTAGTTTTCATGAACGTAGCATGTATACAGTGCTTTTCAGATAAAACCATCCACCTTAAATAACTTTTGAACCTCTAATTTTTTGGAAAAACGCAAAAAACACTTCAATTAATATCTGAAGGGGGAGGCATAATATCATATTTAAGGTTGCTGGAAAATGCACCCCCACACCCCCTGTATCTACCCTTTATTTTTTTTAAATTACTTCCCCTTTTTTTATTTCATATTTGGATTCTCCTTTTTGTACTGATTTCAGAAATGTATAATACATGATACTTGAAGTGATTACTTTATGAGAAAAGTAAATACAAAAGCAAGAAAATTGGATTGAAAAAAAATTATTTTTTAACAATTTTATTACACACATTTAGAACAAACATTTCACTACTAAAAGTTTTTACATAAATTGTTCAAAATTACTGCCTTTCACTTCCATACAATAGTACAATCTATTTTGAAATTCTTCTCTGACATTGCTTAACACGTCTGCATTTAATTGTCGACATTCATCCTCTATTCTTTGTTGTAAATCAACTAGATATTCTGGTTGAGTAGCATAATTTTTGTTTTTAAATACTCTCATAAGAAGAAGTCTAGGGGTGTACAATCCGGTGACCTAGGTGGCCAATCGATCATCTGTCGTCTTTTACCTATCCAAGGACCGGGAAACGTTTCGTTTAAAAATTATCGCACAGGTAAAGCAAAGTGTGGAGAAGCTCCATCATGTTGAAATACAACCAAATCATCGGAAAGGTTATCATCATTTTCTACTATTGTTCTAACGATCAACCACTTGCCTATATAATTCAAGATACGATGCACCATTTAAGTTTCCAGTGATAAAGAAGGGTCTGATAATATGATTACGTAGGATACCACACCATACGTTTAACCTTTGAAGATGCTGTGTGTGAAATTCGCGTACAATATGTGGATCACTCTCAGCCCAGTATCGGCAATTATATCTGTTCACCAAACCGTTTAATAGAATGAGCATTCATCCGAGAAGCAAATATTGTTTAACGATTGTGCATTGTTAATGATGCATTGTATTATTAATTCGCAACATTCGGGACGACGATCAAAATCTTCTTCATTTAACTCTTGTACTAATTTAATTTTATATGGATAAAACTTAAATTTATGGAGGACTCGGAAAGGCTGTAGAAGATGAAACACCGATTGCTCTGCTTATTGTTGACAGTGACTGATTGTTAAGAGTCTAAGAGAGTCTAAGATTGTTAAGTTAACGTGCCCTAAAACAGCTACTTGGATTGCTGTTTTAATTTACAAGTTCCTGTCGGTTATGTTTTTTATTGCAAACTGACCCTCTTGCTCTAATTTTTTCTGCATCAGTTCAATGACACACTTATGAGCTGCATGTGTATTGTGGTGTGTTTCATTAAAAATTCTAGCAGCAGCTCTTGCACAATTATTATTTTTGTAGTATAAACCTACAATTTCGATTCTTTCTTGCAAAGTGTACACCATTTCAGCGATCAAATTGCACACGTATCAAAATAAGCTGTTACATACAAGTTATAACAAATTGTCGCTATTAACCGATTAAAACAAATGTAAAAATGATATCGAAAACCTTTGATAAAACTTGAATAAAAAGTGAATTTTTTTATTGCTTGGTTTTTAAAGGTACTACAAATAGTACGGTTAAATATTTAAAGAGTTTAAATTATGCTACAACCTATTTTGTTAGAGTCAATTAAGGTGAGGGAGATAGAAAATTGTCTATCGGATAAACTAATCACTTCAAGCCAAAGGTGTTATACATTTTTGAAATCAGTACAAAAAGGAGAATCCAAATATAAAATAAAAAAAGGGGGAAGTATTGACGTGTTTTTGCGTTTTTCCAAAAAATTAGAGGTTCAAAGTTATTTAAGGTGGATAGTTTTATCTGAAAAGCACTGTATAATTTCGACCTTTTTTTTGTAGAGATGTAGTAAGTGGGACAGTGAATAACATTGTAAGATAGCACACACACATACACCTATATTCACATACACACACACACACAAATAAATAATAAATTTTTTTTCTTCTTCTTCCTCTTTATAAGCAATTCTGCTTGTTCATTGGCGGATTAATACCTCTATGGAAGATTGTCACTCCATATTTTGCGTTGTACTCCGATACTTCTTCTGCCGATTGGTAACTTATCTCTTGCTATTTTAACGACACGGGTCTCCTCCATTCTGCTTATGTGGTTATTCCATTCTTTTTTTCTATTTTGTGTCCATTTATTTATACAGTAAGTTATTTATACATGTAAGTTACATTTTCTTCTACTATCTTCACTTCTCTTTCGATTTCTCAGCGTATTTCCTGTAAGTCTTCTCAGTACACTCATTGGAAAGTTGGATATTGAAGAAAGAACACATAAATAAGTTACAGTCCTTTGAAATGTTTTGTTACAAGAGGATGCTTAGAATAGCATGGACACCGAAGATAACTAACAACGAAGTATTGCGAGAAATAAGCAAAGAATGCGAGATAATAAACACATCTGGCGTCTTCCTACTGATCTTTTGCCCTGTACTTTTCCTTCCAGTATAACTTGAAGTAATTCATATTTTTATTAAGAATTCTAAAGAATTATAAAATAATATTATTTCGCTAAGCGATATTCTTTAATAAGGTTTTTATTATCGCCCATACTGTAAGTCAAATTGAATGCGTATTATTATATGTTATGGTAAAATATTTATAAAAATTAAAGTGTACCGTATTGTGCGAATTAATGGAATCATAGGCTGTTTTAATGAAAAAACAGTTTATTTAATAAAAAATTATATTTTGACAAAACTATAAAGGTAAACTTACATCATTCAGTAGAGAATATGTCCCCCTTTGGCAGCAATTAATGCTTTTACCCGTTTTGGCATAGATTCTATGAGTTTCTGGCAGTTGTCAGATATCCTTTCATCTCGATACCAAACCTGAATGGCCGCTTCTATCATGTTTGTTTTAGTGGTACAATCGATTTTTCGCAGTCTAGCTTTGCAAATGACCCATAAATGTTCAATGGGGTTGAGGTCGGGCAAATTACCGGGCCAATCTAAAACATTAATCTTCTTATTTTTGAAAATGCCATCATTTCCTTTGATTTGTGACAGGGAGCAGAGTCCTGTTGAAGAATCGCTCCTCCTTGGGGTTGACATTTTTGGAGTTGTTTGTCCAAATACTTTCTCAACATGGATTTGTATTTTTGGCTATTCATCATGCCTTCAATTGGCACCAAAGATCCAACCCCCATGTATGAAAAACATCCCCAAAACATTTTCTTTACTGGATGTTTTACGGTTTGATCAATATGAGATGGTGTAAGCTTTTCATTGTCAGACTTCCTGACGAATTTAGACCGCTGTCCCTGAACTATAAAGTGGATTTCATCTGTAAATAGGACTTTTTTCCAGTCGCCTACAGTCCAATTAGAGTATTTTTTGGCCCACAGTAGCCTTTGTTTCTTCATTCGTTCAGTTAGAAGCTATTTTTTCTGTGGACGAATTGCCCTTCTACCATTCTCCAAAAGTCTTCTGCGAACAGTTGAGGTCATGAATCACTATAGCTGATGCTGCTAGATCTTGTTGTAGGTCTTGGCTTGATTTTCTTGGGTCCAATTTACTCTTTCGAAGAAATCTATCATCTGCTGGTGTTGTTTTTCTCTTTCTTTCAGATTTTCCTAACCTTTTCACATCCACTGATCCCGTTTCTCGTTTACGCTTTAAAATTTTGCTTACTACCCCCTGACTCACTCCACACGTTCTAGCAATCCTTCTTTGTGACATACTAGTATGTTCACTCAACGTGACAATCTTTTCACGCTTCCTAGGGATAATATCCATGTTAGAATAAATCCAAAAACAACACAAAATAGTACAAAAACCCCCAAAACAACACAAGCTTGGTAAGAAATGACCTAAAACACACTCAAACACACCAACACACAGTAAGGTTATGTTTTCAATGCTTGGTCAGCTGTCAACTGTGTAGGTAGTGTTGCCAACTGTGGATATTGAAAAAATGAAAAAAAAAAATTCACAGTGATTCCATTAATTCGCACAATACTGTATATACAGGGTGATTTAAGGTTTTATACAATAACAAAATTTAAACAAATATATTAATTATCATTTTAACTCCACTACAAGTGAAAATAAAAACAATCAAATCTAGTTATTTAAGTTTAAATTATCAACTAACCAGTTTTCTCACCTACAGGTATAACACCACGTCAAATGGAATCAGGAAAAAGAGCTCTTTCTATGCCACCGGCAAGACGGTCTAGAAGTATGACTAGGACACGAAAATATTTAGAACCTCCAGGAGTCTCGTCAAGTGAGGAAGAAGATTTAGACTCTCTTAAGGACGAACGAGCGTCACCACGATCAAGACCAAGAAAAGCCACGCCTTTAAGAAGAACCGGGTCTCCTAATCGTAGTGGTCGAGCTGGACGGTCACGTTCACCAAACCGTATGTATTTAATAGACACAATTTATATTTGATTTTAATGCCTTCTTAACGTAGTGTTGAAAAAATTAGATCAGGAAAATTAGCAATATTGTCCCAAAAAAGAGAGCTCGCACAACGCCACTGGTTTGATATGACTAGTGTCATTTGTGTTTTTAAAGCATGCTTTGATCAATGCCTCTATAGATAGTAATAATAATATACATATTATCACTTGTCAAACCCGTGTCGTTACGCACTAACTCCATTATTCTTTATCTTTGATTACTCACGTTTTAAACAGCTGAAAAGCCTAAGTTTTAACCAGTTTTTCTCAGTCAAACTTATTCTTCTTCATCAAGTGCCGTCTCCATCAATGGAGGTTAGCGGTTATGGTGGCAAACGTTTGTCTATCTTCAGCTGCTCTTAAGAGTTCCTCAAATCCAAGTCCTGTCCAGTTTCTGATATTACGTAACCAGGACAATTTTTTTCTTCCAATTCCTCGCTTTCCTTCTATTTTGCCTTTTATTATCAACTGAGGGATGTAGTCTTTCTCGTTGCGCAATAAATGCCCTAAATAACTGGTTTTTTTTCTTTTAACTGTTCTCAATAGTTCTTTTTCTAAATTGAGTCTAGCTAGTACTTCTTCATTTGTTTTTCGTGCTGTCCAAGGAATTTTTAAAATTCTACGGTACACCCACATTTCAAATGCCTCGATTCTATTCAGGCTCTTTATTTTTAAAGTCCACGTTTCGGCTCCGTAGAGAAGAACAGACCAGATAAAACATTTTACAAGTTTTAATCTTAATTTAATATTTATATGTGTATCGCAGAATAGAACGCGCATCTTAAAGAAACTATCCCTAGCTTGAGCAATTCTAACTTTAATTTCTTGTTCTGGGTCCAGCTTGCAATTAATCCAACAGCCAAGGTATTTGTATTGGTTTACCTGTTCTAAAATATTCCCATTTATTTTTATAGGTAAGGGGATATTCTGTTTTCTTTGGATCACCATTACTTTTGTTTTTTTTTTTCGTTGATCTTCATTACAAACTCTCGACAAGCATCCTTAAGGTGGTCTATAACCCCCTGTAAGTTTGTGTCTGTATCAGCCAGTAGGACAGTGTCATCTGCATATCTTATGCTAGATATTGGTTCTCCATTAATTTTTATTCCTGTGGAAAGGTTTTCCCAGGCTTGCTTGAATAGTAGTTCCGAGTAAAGATTGAACAGCATAGGGGATAGTATGCATCCTTGCCTTACTCCTTTATTTATACTAATATTTCTAGATGTATGATCGTTGATCCTAATCTTGGCACTCTGCCTCCAATATAAGTTCTTAATTAATCGGAGATCTTTACTATCCAAGTTGATGCTCTGCAAGGAATTTAACATTTTATTATGGTTTACGCGATCAAATGCCTTTTCAAAGTCTACAAAACATAGAAAGAAATCCTTTTGTTGGTCGTAACACTTCTGCAGCAGTACTTGTAGTGAAAACAAGGCCTCTCTGGTCCCCATTCCGGCTCTGAATCCAAATTGATCGTATCTAACTTCTTTTTCACACCTTTTGTATACCCTATTGTGAAGTATTTTTAATAGAATTTTATGCACTTGGCTCATAAGACTTATTAATCTAAAATCTGCGCATCGCCTGGAGTTAGCTTGTTTTGGAATGGGAATAAAAATAGATTCTAACCATTCCTCTGGTATTTCCCCAGTATCGTAGATTGTATTAAACAAAATTACTAACAAATCAATGTTATTACTTTCGATCAATTTAAGTATTTCAGGATAAACTTCGTCAGGTCCAAGGCTTTTGTTGGTCTTTAATTGTTTAATGGCATATTCCACTTCGACTTTTAGAATTGGTGGGCTTTCAGTAACATTATTTATTGTAATGTCTATTCTTTCATCTCGGAACAGCTGTTGTATAAATTTTTCCCATTCTTCTATTTTATCTTTGGTGTTATGAATTAACTCTCCGTTGTTATTTACCAGTGGGCAATGTTGTTTTTTGTGGATGAATGAAAATTCTTTCACCTTCTTGTACATATTAAAGTAATCATGTCTATGTTCTAATTCTTCTATTTCTTTACATTTTTCAAACTTATAATCATATTGAAAAATAAATTAGGTTTTATTATTCAGATAATTCTGATATAGCTCGTGAAGAAGAAGAAGAAACAATCTGGTTCGCAAGATCACAACTCTAACAACCATTTATTGTGCATTTCTATAAAAAATAAATGATCTAAAATGAAGTAAAAAATATGACATATAGATACACTTCAATGAATGAAAACCTTATTATTGATCTCACTTTAGTTTCTCCAAGTTAGCCTTTTAGAATTAAATCCTATTAACGACATCCTTGGTTTTAATCATTCTCCTATTCATATCACACTATCTCGAGAATACACTCCCACTAATATCATACCTGTTATACTCCCACTAATATCATACCATTAGACGTTACGTTTTTTTTGTCTTACTGTATGGCTGTGAAAGTTGGACAATGACTCTGGATAGAAAAAAGCCACACCAAATAGATGCCTTTGAAATGCCAGTACTCTTCTAGGCCATCTGTACTCTGGCATTCTTTTAAGATGTCCGAATCAGATTAATTGGCAATTACTACCTGGTCATTTGCAAAGAAATGTGTATATAGCGTGTTTTTACCCATTTTACTAAGGATCTGTCCAAATAGATTTTAAATATGGTGGGTAATAGACAGCAGCCTTATCTTAGTCCTTTTGTTGTTTGAAAAGGAGAGGTGATTTCTTGTCCCATTTTAATTCTTGAAATGTTTTGTTCGTAGTATTTTTGAGTGGCGTTAATAAGAATTGGGTTTATTTTCAAGTTACCCATTTCTATCCATAGTTGGGAGATCGGCACACTGTCATATTCTTTTTCCAAATCTATTAAAGCTATCTGTGTTTCTCTATTTCTCTGCACTCGTTTTTCCATTGCAATTTTTAATATGAAAATATTATCCATAGTGGAGCGTCCGGCCCTAAATTACGCTTGTTCTTCGGGTTGTTTGTCTTTAATATCATTTTCTATCAGGTTTCGTAATACTTTTGAGTAAAGTCGGCCTATAGTAGCAATCACTGCGATCCCTCTATAGTTTTTAGGATCCGCCTTTTGCCTTTCTTGTGTATTGGAGAGATATACGATTGTCTCCATTCTTCTGGAACTTCTTCTCCGTTTGAGCTTTCGAATAATTTTCGGATCATTTCAAACACTTTTGATGATGCATACCTAATCAACTCTGGATTTATTCCGCCTGGGCCTGTAGATTTTCTTAATTTCATTCCCTTAACTACCTTTCACTTGTTCTATTGATATTTCTATTCTTCCTTCTACTTTCACTTGTTTATTTGTCTGTTTAAATCTTCCTCTTCTCTCTATTAATAAGTTCTCAAAATGATCTACCCATGTGTTCTCTGGTATTCTGTTTATTATGACTCGGTTCTCATCGTTTTTATACTTCTCCAGACTTCAGAGCCCTTTGTCCCTTCTATGTGGTTGTCTAGGTATTGGCATTTTTGTTTCCATGCACTATTTTTCTTTTTAACCACTTCTCGTTTGACTTCTTTATTCAAGTTTTTATATTGTTGTTTTGTTTGTTCCTCTCCCTGTTGTAATAATTTTTGACATACTTCCTTCTTTCTATTTATCTTTTCTTTCCACTTCTTTATCCCACCAATATGGTTTATCTACTCTCCGTACCTGTGACCATAAGACTTCTAGCCTCTTTCTAGCGTCCTTCATGCAGTTTTTTATATGTTCGTATTCATCTGTCGTTGATCTTTGTGATTCCTGTAGTTTTTGTATTGGTCTCCAGGAGTAAAGTAACTGGAGTAAGTATGTGCTCTCGTTATCTAGATTGTTTAAGGTGAACGCAGTTCTTTCTATTTTATCTCTATGTTCTTTGTTGATGTCTGTGTGGTTCCTGTCTACGAATGGTGGTCTACGAAAACTTAGTTTGTTGTCTTGTTATTAAATAATCTATTATCGATTTTAGACCTTTTGTGTGTTGATACCAGGTGTATTTATACATATGTGTTATACAAGTGATTTATACATATACCTAAAAAAAGTAACAAACAAGAATAAAAAATATCCTTAAACATAAATAAAACATTCTGTGGCTGATGGACTTGTTTCCGTGCCATATCTTTCACACACATATAGATACAATATTATTGTGGATTTTTTAAAAATAATAGAGAATGCAGTTTGTAGCTTTGTTTAATAATAATTATAAAAATTAGATTTTGAATATTTATTATAAGAATAATCATTCCTTGTGTAATTTTTTAGCACCAATGAGTCCAAGTCCAAGAATGATGACACCCTTAGGTTATGGTCTACGAACTCAACGATACGTAGATGACGATTCCGACATAGACTTCTATTATAGCGACGATCCATATGACACAGGAAAGCCAAGAATACGTCCAGTACCCATTTGGCTTTGTGTTTTTCTAGTAGTCAGCTACATTCTCGCTGGAGCGTATTTGTTCATGACGTGGGAGGGCTGGGAGTATCTGGATTCTGCATACTTTTGTTTTATAACCTTAACTACCATTGGATTTGGCGATTTGGTTCCAGCTAAAGAAGTTAGCCGTGATAATGACAGAGCTGCTATAAGTATAGCTCTCTGTTCGTTGTATTTATTGTTTGGCATTTCTTTATTGGCTATGAGTTTTAACTTAGTACAAGAGGAGGTTATTTCTAATGTTAAAAGTGTTGCCAAAAGTTTAGGTATTATAAAAAGCGACTCTGATGATGAAAATGAAGATGAATAAATATCAACCAAATAAAGTATATAATAAATGTTATATTTTTTGTTTTATTTCTGATAATTGAACAGCCTGCTCTAATGTATTTTTCCCAAAATAACTCAATACTATAATTATAAAGATGTGTGTTAATACTAAAAATTATGTCTACTTTCTTACTTTTCTAAAAAGATCTGTCAAGTTCCGCATAGTTGTCATATATGACACTTGATGCAAAACAAGATTTGATATATTAAAAACACTATCAAATGGCGTCTAGAAACCATGTAAGCTTGAGTACCTCGAACACGTGATGCGGAAAGAAGAAAAATATTAAATGCTTCAACTTGTTATGCAGGGTAAAGTATTTTACAGGAGAGAACAGCGACGCTGTCGTATCTCGTGGTTTAAAAAACATCCGGCAATGGTTTGGGATGATCTCCACGGAGCTGTTTGACAGAGCAGTCAACAAAACCATGATAGCCTTAATGATCGCCAACATCCGGAGTAGATAAGGCACTGAAGAAGAGAAACTCTCATAAAAAATATCGTCAGATTCACCGGTTAAACAAAATTTTACTGTCAGAAATGTTCTCGCCAACTCTCACCAATTTTGACATTTTGAAACACTAATAATAAACTTTTATTACTTTATTTAAAGGAATAGAGCACTAGATCCTAATCCATTTGCTAATTGAAATAGTGACCTTTAAAAAAATACCAAGTCCATTTTCACTTAAAGGGATAGAACACTTTGTCAACTTAATGTTTTATCCCTCTACGCACGTGAATTACCGCTGCAGATAGTATATTACATATCTCTATGATGACAGGTAGACTGTCAGTAATCTAATATAGTACTTTTTCAATTTATGGTGTGTTTACAGTTGTTTGTTACTAATAATAAGAATAATGTACCATAATTCTCGTGGAAGAAATATTCTTGATCTAATGAAAAGTTCTACGAATTCTTCTACTGCATTTATTTTTGTTGCTCATTATTTTTAAATGATTAAAAAACAAAACCTTAAAAAGTTAATGTAGTGATTTGATACCAACCTTAAACTAGCAATATTATTAAGTATTCTTCAACCAATATTATAAGCCTAGTTTTATTTCAGAGTCAAATAATACACCAAGCAATTTTGTTTTAAATGAAGAGCATATTATTAGAGATACCTTAAGTTTTGATGAAGAAGATACCTAGAATTATGATGAACTGCTCGTGGTTGAAATGAAATCGGATCTGCATTACTGAAATGGGCAGATGCCGTCATTCTTGGCAGTGAGATAGAAGAAATTATATTATGGTCTGTACGGCCAAAATAAAAATGTTAGCATTATTATGTGTTTCTTTTGGATACTCAATAAATATCCTCAAGTAAAAATCATCATTCAGAAGTTTATTCTATCCTTGTATGAGCCTCGGTAGAATATCAGTTATCAATATCAATATCAGATATCAATAATATCTTCATGATTTATGGTTATTTTAAATAAACATCAGTAAACAAAAATGTTTATGATAAAAATAATCCAATAAAATAGAGTTGCCATATAACTATCCTAGCAAAGTACACACAAGTACTTACAATCCAATGTTATTAATGTTTGATTTGGTTATACTAATATTCACAACTTTTCTAATCTATTCTAAATATCAACGAAAAACAAACTACAAACTTCTATGTATAACTACCAAAATAAATCTCTAATAAATATCTGTATCGAAATTAATAAAAACAAAATTATATACAACAGAATGGAAATTCCTATTAATGAACCTCATATTATAATAAATTATATTAAAATTATAAACTATATAAAATACAACCAAACAATACAAAAATTATTATAATTAATATGCAAATCATAAAACAACTGTTTCTATTTTCCTTTTTTACCTAGTTTATACATTTTAAAGACAGGTTCGTTATCGACTAATCACAAAAAGCAGTAATTTTAGAGGTCCAACCTTTAAATATCCTTTGAAACAATCGCTTGTGACAACAAAATATATAGAAAGCATTATAGACGATAAGTAATTGGTCAAGTAAATAACCAATTACCTGCTGTATATTAACTCATTTAAATGAAATAGGTGGATCATTTAATGAGTCATTATTCACTCAGAAGTTTCTACTAAAGGATCACACCCACATGGAGGCGGACACTATCCATGCGCTGATAGCAGTTAGTCAGACGAACTTCAATAAAATATAATGTACATAATATGGAACTAGAAGATTTAAACTTTTTTTTATGATGTTAAAACATCTCAAAATCGGCATATGATTAATATAAAAAAAAAAACATAAACAAACAACGAGTTCTTCTGTCAAATTGTGTTTAACTTCAAGTAAAACATAACAGCATACTCTGTTTTTGAAAATTAATTCTCATAATGAAAATCAGGAAATTGACCTTGTTATGTTACGAAGGCGACACCTTACCTTGCCAAAAGATTTGCAACTGGTATCACAAAGTGACATACAAAAGTATAATGATCTATTGTCATTACTGCTATCTGTTCCTAAATTTTGCCATGAGTTTAAAAAAAAAATAAAAGCATACCAGTAATACTAATCGTGACTATCCGGATAGGGACTTACTTGAGGATGACTGAGTGGTTTATACGTAAAATACCATTTTGGTTAGATACATAGATGTATTATTTGTATTTGTAAAGGTGAATTGTACGGGTAAATAAATTTTATAAGTCAAATAGTAGGTATTGTAGTTGTTATTGAATACCCTAAACTAAGTCTTACACTGCAATTACATCATGGCCATTAAAACGGTTAAAAAACACAGAAAAAAATTTGTTTTTCAATTATAACAAATGCATTATGTAAATAACAATAGATAAAATGTACATTAAAATATTATTTCAATTTCTTAATAAATAGCTGCAGCAATAACATTTTTTAGTGAGAAAAGTTTAAAACTGCTCTTTTGCAAAATTATGAAAATGGACGTATAGGACAATTCACAGTGATGCTGTTATTATACCAGACATCAAAAACAAAGAAACAAACATGCAATTTGAAGGACAGCTATAATAGCAAAACGCTATCTTGAAATAAATTGATTTTATCAGAAAAGAGTAACGCATTATTTAAAAATTCACTGCTCCTTAATTGTTATATTAAAAAGAAAATAATAGTTAATACACAATTTCATAAAAATTCGTTACTATATTCATTTATCGTTTTTTCTTCCAAACAAAAATCGAAACTTTTCAGGATATATCCTCCATTATGTTTAACTACACATCTTATATTAATACATTGAGATTCCTCGTTGTTACTGTTTGTTAATACCTAAAATTAGGCGTTGCATAATATTCTCCAGCAAAATAATACCGGTAGCAAATACATCTAGTGTTCACTTAAGGCTAAAGATAAGGATTAATATTAAACTACATGTTTGGAATATTGCCGAACGTCTAATTACTTAGGTATTGGAATTGTTGCACCTGGCTCCGATCATAACGATAACATTGTCTTAGTAAATCTGTAACAATTTCATAAACTATTAAACGTAGCTAAAGGGATTTTACAATATAATAAAACTCGGTGAAATACATACTACATATATATATATATATATATATATATATATATATATATATATATATATATATATATATATATGTATATATATATATGTATATACATATATATATATACTATATATATGTATATACATATATATATATACATATATATATATATATATAATATATATATGTACCTAATAAACTGTGTTGTTTGTATATATATATATATATATATATATATATATATATATATATATATATATATATATACAAACAACACAGTTTATTAGGTTGCAGTCAGAATACTGGCCGGGATGTTAACAAAAAACTTGACTTTTTGTCTAGCTTTCGGAATGGTTTTATTCCCTTTTCAAGACACTGTAACAAGACAAATATGTAAATATTTATAAAAATATCACAATTCGTCAGTGTAACTTACTAGTCGTTGAGAATAATTATAAAAGTATTGACACTCAACATTGATAACACACATTAAAATATAAAATCATGGACAAAATACATTCTAAAATTTTTAAAATTTATGGAAAGATAGTAAAACTTAGTTAATGGCATATTTTACTGGTGTGTTTTAACTCATATGCATAGAGAACAGAAAGTAAAAACCCTGTAATTAACATGTAATTAGGTGTACTTAATATTATCTTTGTTTTCAAGAAATACTAGAGGCCCATCTTGGGTGATTATACTTTTTAAACCTGTTTTATGGTATGCAACATAATTATACATACAGATGTAATTTATGTACAGGTAAATATTTATTTTATTTTTGGTGTTTTTCTAGGAAATAACAATAAATGTTGCTTAGTTTATCTATGTTAAACTTTTTATTGATGCAAGATTTTATGAAACACATTTCCAAAAAACACGTTTTGAATGGTTCTTTTCCTTTGCCAAAATATTCTGACTGCAACCCTAATAAACTGTGTTGTTTGTTTATATCGACAGTCACTAATATCCAGTATTTCTTATATATATATATATATATATATATATATATATATATATATATATATATATATATATATATATATAAAGTAGTTAGGTATTATTGACTGACACGTTATGTAAAATAAAGTTTTATTTTGAGAATGCAGTCATTTAAGTAGGGCAGGATAAGTCAAACTCTTTGTTCTTAAATCAAGCTTTCGCAAAATTTATTTGCTTCATCAGGATATGCTAAAATATGTTATGGTAAATACAATGAAACTAGAATTAAAAAACATTGTATAAAACTAGTATAAAAACTTACAACATGAGGTTAAACCATTAAATTATTAAATTCACAAAACATTCTTAACTTATCTCAATTATATTTTTATGTAAGTACAATATTTTATTTATATTTATTTTTTTACATTCATAAACACACACACACACACACACACACATACATGAAAATACAGGAATATTAGAAATAAATTAAAAAATATATTAGAAAAAAATGAGGACTTCAATTGAGGAAAGTTGTACGTATTTT